CCAAATCTGTTGCATGTTTTGTATCTTATAGTGCCGTAGTCCCTTACACACCCCAAAGGCCTTTTCAGTAATTTTTTCTCTAATGATATGAAAAATTCATTTCTACATTGACCTGCGATTTGTGTTTGGCTACAGATTTCCCGGTGTAGACGGCTACAATGTTTGCATGGAACCGATCGTTGAGAGAATCTATAAATGGAATTGCTGCAACACCAAATATTTACAGACTGAATATGTTTTTCTAGTTACAATTGATTCTGTAATTCCGAACAAACTGCTGAGGTGACATATAGCGCAGTGATGGAGAAACTTCTTCCTGGCTTGTTCAATGAGGGAGCAATACTATGGGCTCTATGTACACTATGGGCTCTATGTACACTATGGGCTCTATGTACACTATGGGCTCTATGTACACTATGGGCTCTATGTACACTATGGGCTCTATGTACACTATGGGCTCTATGTACACTATGGGCTCTATGTACACTATGGGCTCTATGTACACTATGGGCTCTATGTACACTATGGGCTCTATGTACACTATGGGCTCTATGTACACTATGGGCTCTATGTACACTATGGGCTCTATGTACACTATGGGCTCTATGTACACTATGGGCTCTATGTACACTATGGGCTCTATGTACACTATGGGCTCTATGTACACTATGGGCTCTATGTACACTATGGGCTCTATGTACACTATGGGCTCTATGTACACTATGGGCTCTATGTACACTATGGGCTCTATGTACACTATGGGCTCTATGTACACTATGGGCTCTATGTACACTATGGGCTCTATGTACACTGTGGGCTCTTATGTACACTGTGAGCTCTATGGATACTATGTACACTGCGGGCTCTATGGATACTATGGGCTGTATGGGCACTGTGGGCTCTATGTACACTTTGGGCTCTATGTACACTGTGGGCTCTATGTACACTGTGGCCTCTATGTACACTATGGGCTCTATGTACACTGTGGGCTCTAAGGTAAATATGTACACTGCAGGCTCTAAGGACATTATAGGTTCTATGTACACTATGGGCTCTATGTACACTGTGGGCTCTTATGTACACTGTGAGCTCTATGGATACTATGTACACTGTGGGCTCTATGGATACTATGGGCTCTATGGGCACTGTGGGCTCTATGTACACTGTGGGCTCTATGTACAATGTGGGCTCTATGTACACTATGGGCTCTATGTACACTGTGGGCTCTAAGGTAACTATGTACACTGCGGGCTCTATGGATACTATGGGCTCTATGGATACTATGGGCTCTATGGACACTGTGGGCTCTATGGATACTATGTACACTGCGGGATCTATGGGCACTATGGACTCTATGGACACTATGGATTCTATGACCACTATGGACTCTATGATTACTATGGGCATTGTGGACACTATGGACTCTTGGGACACTGGAATCTATGACCACTATGGGCTGTATGGACACTGTGAATGTTATGGACGCTGTGGACTATATGACCACTGTGGATTATATGGACACTGGACTCTATGGGCACTGTGAAATCTATGGACACTGGAATTCAAGGAGACTGTGGACACTATGTACACTATTGACTCTATGACTACTATGGACACTGTGGGCTCTATGCGCACTATGAACTCTATGGACACTATGCACATTATGGACAGTGTGGGCTCTCTGAACACTGTGGACTAACAGTTCTGAGTCGATACTGTGACTGTGGCCTAGCAGTTACAGCAATAGCTACTGTATGCAAGGTTTCCAATGCCATTTATACAGCTGAGTGCAAAATATTCAAAATAGGCCACAGACCTGTATTCCAGGGAAAACTTGGTCAGCTCCTTATGGTCATGCAGCCATTTAAATTCGAGAGGCCAGCTCCCCTCCGCCATGCACGTAAGTACCAAACGATTGCCCTCCAGGTGGACCTGACTCCGTACCGGCTCCGTCTTGAAGTATGGAGGCACATCGTCTACAGGAAAAAGAAAGAACATATTCAGTATGTGACGTCCGCTGATTAGAACATTGGTGACAATTAGGGCTCATTCACACTTTCATGCTGCGTTTTGTTACCACATATATACATTAATGTGAGCTGGGCTAAGGAAGCCCCTGAATGGGCCGCGGACGCACCACAACGCAGCCAAAATCAGACATGACTTATTTTTTTCCAATGCAGCGTGGCAGCCTAGGTGTGAGAGCATGACACCCCTACTACGGCCTTATTATTAATGCGGTTGACCTTCTCTGCGCTCCCTACAGTTCCCCAACATACATTTTGTGAACTGGCGCCCCAAACTGCGCTACTTAGCGCTCATTTGCCCCTCTTTTATTCGGCGCCCCAGCGGCCCGCAATGCAAAAATGGGCATAGGAAAAAGGCATTGTTCCTGTACCCATTTTTGCATCGCGAGCCGCGGGAGCGCCAACCAAGTTTACTAACTAAATTAGGAGTGACGGCTTTCCCTTCCTTCACCAACACTCATGATTAATACATGAGGCATGAAAGGAGCCCGCGACAGGAAAAAAGAATTTCAAATACAACGAAGCACTGATGTACACAAAGAAAGCATATTTCAAAAGCCGCAGAATGGAGAACAAAAGGTCAGAGTAGAGAGCCGGGGAGATGAGAAGAAATCCAAGATGATGCATTACGGAACAGCCGCAACCGAGCGCCGATCGACCGTATGTATAGACACGCTGCTCAGCTAATGTCTGGGTATAACGTTACTATAAACATGCAAACAAACACGCCAAAGCACTAAATCCTTCTGCCGGAAGATGGCTATACATTACCAGGACAATAGGTTCTCCAGCATCACCCAGTGCTCATCAGCGGTACTGCAGCTTTTCCAATTTTACATTTAAAGGGTATGTCAAGGCACAACAAAAAAGATATTTGTACATCTCTGTAATATATGCACGCTTCCAGCTAGTACAGAAAGATAACTTGATGTGCAAGAAATATAGTGGGCCCCTATCTTCAATGACAACACGACTCTGAATTGATAAGCACATGGTGTCAGCTCTGTCTACTTCACTTTTGATGGGTTACTCAGAACGCAAATCTCTCCTCATCTTCTCCCCCTCTGCTTTCTCCATGACCCCTACTTACTCCCCTCTCCCCCATCTCCACAACCTCTACTCCCCCCTCCTTGTTCCATTGACCCCTCCACATCTCCCTGACCAACTCATCAACCTGATCCCCCTCCTCATCTCCATGACCTCTACTCATCTCCCTTACCCATTCCTCATTTCCATGATCTCGCCTCATCTCCATGACCTCTCCCCTCCCATCATTAGTGCATGATACCTCCTCATCTCTCTCTCCGCTCCTCTTAATCTCCCTTTCCACCTCTTCATCTCCATAACCTCTCCTCCCTCATCCTTACTCCATGAGACCTCCTATTCTCCCTCCCAACCTCCTTATCTCCTTGACCCCATCCTCATATCTGTGACCCCAACTCATCTCCACATCTCCATAACCTCTCCTCATTTTCATGACCTCTACTTCCCCTCCTTACTTCATGACCCCTCCTTTTCTCCCTCCCAACCTGCTTATCTCACTGACTCTCCTCCTCAACTCCATGACCAATCCTCATCTACATGACGCCTCCTCCCCACGGGCCAAAACTAGTCGGGTCCAATGTTGGGGATAGGGTGCCATTTTTTTTCTGCCACATTCCTAGAGGCCAAGCATGTGCAGCATCCCAAAAAGTGAAGCTCAATGCTATTGTAGCCCAGGCCAAAACTGGTCGGGTCCAAAGTTGGGGTTTGGGTGCCACCTTCCCTGTGGCATAGGCCTAGTGGCCAAACATGTGCGACATCCAAGAAAGTGAAGTTTAATGCTACTGTAACCCAGGCCAAAACTTGTTGGGTCCAATGTTGGGGTTTGGGGTGCCACATGCCTAGTGACCAAGCATGTGCAACATCCCAGAAGGTGAAGGTGAAGCTCAATGCCATTGTCTGGGTCCAATGTTGGGGATTTGGGTGCCCCCTTCTCTGTATTTTATCGGCCTGGCCAGCAACTCCCCCTTCCTTACTCCATGACCCCTAATCAGCCCCTGCCCCATAACCTCTCCTTATCTCCTTGACCTCTACTCAATGACCCTTTCTCATCTCCTTCCCCACCTACTTATCTCTCTGACCCCCCTCCCCAACTCCATGACCAATCCTCATCTCCATGACCTCTCCTCCACCTTGACCAAATTTTGTGGAGTATAATGTTGGGGTGCCACCTTGACTGTGCCACATGCCTAGTGGCCAAGCATGTGTAACATCCCAGAAGGTGAAGCTCAATGCCAGTGTAACCCGACCCCAAACTGGTTGGGTCCAATGTTAGGGATTGGAGCGCCACCTTGTCTGTATTTTATCGGCCTAGCTGGAATGTGTTGCCAATGCTATTAATGGATTAAAAAAACAAAGTGTCAACGTTAGTTGCTATCTATTTAGAAGAGAACAATGAAAGAAGAATCGGTAGATAATCCGTCACATGGATGATATAGACCATGTCCAGTGCACGCACGCATTCCCTTCCACTCGGCGCCATTGGGTGCGGATCATTCTGCAGATGAGAACGCTTTTAAACAGTCAAAGCTAAACAACAGACTGAACT